GGGGATGCCCTGTCAATGCTTCTTGAAATGCCTGTGATAGAGGACCAGATTTTTGGTTTTTGCTTTTTTTCCCAATCCTTCATGGACCTATCTATTTTATAAGGCACAATATAAGTTACTAGAAAAATGAGAGAAGAAAACCTAGACATAGTATAACGTTTTATTATTAGTTTCAATAGACATAAAATTACTGTGCCATATTGCTCTGAAGTTTCCTAACAGTTCCACTCCATTTCTGTACTTATTTTGTCAGGAACCAGTAACAAGCTGTTCATGGATGTGCATTAGTCCCCAGACCACACTCCAGTAACACAGCACTGCCCTAGAACTTGTGGCTAACTGCTGGCATTGTAAGATTGTTGCGAGTTAAGAAACACAAAATTAACCAGTGAATTGCAAAGTGCTGTACACTAATTGGTTAGGGATGTCATCTTAGCCACTTTCATTCAGGTAAGCTGAGAAGGCTCCAAGAAGGGCAGGACTTGCCTGAAGTCACATAGTTTGTAAGTGGCAGATGCAGAACTGGCCTCCTAGTTCTCATCCAGGGCTCTTCCCACTCTGCCTTGGGCAGTGGGTACTAGGATGTGTCACCCAAATGCATTTTCAAGGAAGAACTCCATTCCCAGCTGCAGTAAGTACAGTCTGCCCCTTCTGAGATCACCTCTATTGCAGAGAGATGCCTGTGCATGGGCATACAGCCAATGACTGATCCAGCCAGGGTATAAAGGCAGGGCCACTTCAGCCAAAATCAATACAACTCTGATGGGCCATTTCAGGTTGACTTCTCCCTCCGTCCAATTTTGCTGCCTTCCTTTCCTTCTCATGGTGTTGACTCCAAAGATTCTGTAACAAACATCCTGCAGGCTACACACCATCTCAGAATCCACTCCCTGGAGAACCCAATCTGTGACATCATGGGTATGTGAAGAGGTAAATCCCAGTACAAGGGTCAGAAGGTTAACTAATTTGTCTGCAATCACACAGCTTTAAGTGGTGGAGCAAGGATTTGAATTCAGATCTGACTGCAAAGGCTGTATTTTTGTCTGATACAGTGTGACCTGACTACTAGCTTGGACAACAAAAGAAAGGATTAGAAAAGTTGGACTTAATCTGCAAAATTAAAAATAACTCTTATTTATTCAAAATGGCCCAGCCATTTTAGAAAACAGTTTGACAGATTCTCATAAAGTTAAACATAGGCTTACTATACAACTCAGCAATGGTGCTCTTATGTATTTACCCAAATGATTGGAAAACAAGTCTACATAAAAACCTGCACATGAATGTTTATGGGCACTTTATTCATAATCACCCAAAACAGGAAGCAACCAAGATGTACTTCAATAGGTGAATGGATTTTTTAAACACCTGTGGTTCAATCCATACAATGGAATCCTATTCAGAAATGCAGATAACTGAGCTGTAAATTCACACAATGCCTGGATGAATCTTAAGTACATTTTGCTAAGTGAAAGAAGCCAGACCAAAAAGGCTACATACTGTATGATTTCACTTCTATGACATTCTAGAAAAGGATAACATAGAGGGACAAAAAACAGATCATCTGTAGGAAGCCTATGGCTGAGGAAGCACTGGGAACTTTCTAGGGTGGTAGAACTAATTCCAATGGTATTATAGTGGTGTCTACTTGATACTGTGCATTTGTTAAAACCCACAAGGTAGGCCAGGCATGGTGGCTCACGCCTACAATCCCAGCACTTTGGGAGGCCAAGGTGGATTGATCACCTAAGGTCAGGAGTTTGAGACCAACATGGCCAGTGTGGTGAAATCCCATCTCTACTAAAAATACAAAAATTAGCCAGGCATGGTGGTGGGCACCTGTAATCCCAGATACTCGGGAGGCTGAGATAGGAGAAGTACTTGAACCCAGGAGGCAGAGGTTGCAGGGAGCCGAGATCATGCCACTGCACTCCAGCCTGGGTGACAAAGCGAGACTCCATCTCAAACAAAACAAAACAAAACAAAAACTACCCCACAACCTAAACTTTAATGTATAGAAATTAAACTTTTAAAATCAATAAAAAAGTTGGGGTATCTCAGGATAGAATGCAGACCACGAGGATAAAAGAATCTCAACTGTCTTATGAATGCATGAGAAAACTTCACTGAAAGGAATGGAAGAATAAAAGGCTGACCGAAGTAACTTTGGGAAAGAATATTTTGACCAGAAACTGCAAGACTGATGTAAAAATACAATGTCCATTAAACTACATTGTTGTAGGTAAAGCTGAATTTCTCATGGGGGTGCAGGCTAACAAGTCTGAAATTGCTGTACATGGGTTGCAATTGAACATGTAAGTAAATAGATGGCAGGGGCCAGTTTTCTCACTGTTGCAGAGAGAGGACGACTACGATGATCCATGTGGATCCTGAGTAGCTGGGATTACAGGTGCCTGCCACCATGCCTGGCTATATTTTGTATTTTTAGTAGAGATAGGGTTTCACCACATTGGCCACGCTGGTCTCAAACTCCTGACCTCAGGTGATCCATCTGCCTTGGCCTCCCAAAGTGCTGGGATTGCAGGCGTGAGCCACCATGCCTGGCCTACCTTGTGGGTTTTAACGAATGCAGAGTATCAAGGGATTAGAGGAAGACATCAGTATGAACTCATGTTTAGTTTAATATAGGCAGAGCTGGACAGATCCAATTATAAATATGTATGTATACATGGGAAATATATGGCTTCTAGTTTTGTCTTCTGAGAGGGACTAGAAACTATGGCACCCCAGTATCAACTAGCACACTGAGAGCCCAAATCTTGGTTTCTAATACCTTTCTCTAAGAAAATGATTTTTGGCTGGGCATGGTGGCTCACACCTGTATTCCCAGCACTTTGTGAGGTCAAGGTGGGCCAATCACCTGAGGTCAGGAATTCAAGACCAGCCTGTCCAACATGGTGAAACCCCATCTCTACTAAAAATACAAAAATTAGCTGGGCATGGTGGCAGGTGCCTATAATCCTAGCTACTCAGTAGGCCAAGGCAGGAGAATTGCTTGAACCCAGGAGGTGAAGGTTGCAGTGAGCCAAGATCATACCACTGCACTTGTTGCCTAGGCAACAAGAACAAAACTCTATCTCAAATATAAAATAAAATAAAATAAAATAAAAATAAATTTAAAAAGGATTCCTGAGACACTTAAAGAAATGCCTGATTCTGGGCAAGGTGCAGTGGTTCATACCTGTAATCCCAGCATTTTGGGAGACTGAGATGGGCAGATCACCTGAGGTCGGGGGTTCGAGACCAGTCTGACCAACATGGAGAAACCCCGTCTTTACTAAAAACACAAAATTAGCCAGGCATGGTGGCGTATGCCTGTAATCCAGCTACTCAGGAGGCTGAGGCAGGAGAACTGCTTGAACCCAGGAGATGGAGGTTGCAGTGAGCTGAGATCACACCATTGCACTCCAACCTGAGCAACAGGAGTGAAACTCTGTCTCAAAAAAAAAAATAGCCTGATTCTAGGGCTGGGCAGGAAAAATACAAGATGAGCCTAAAAAATCTTGTAGTGGCTGGGCGCGGTGGCTCAAGCCTGTAATCCCAGCACTTTGGGAGGCCGAGGCGGGTGGATCACGAGGTCAAGAGATCGAGACCATCCTGGTCAACATGGTGAAACCCCGTCTCTACTAAAAATACAAAAAATTAGCTGGGCATGGTGGCGTGTGCCTGTAATCCCAGCGACTCAGGAGGCTGAGGCAGGAGAATTGCCTGAACCCGGGAGGCGGAGGTTGCGGTGAGCTGAGATCGCGCCATTGCACTCCAGCCTGGGTAACGTGAGTGAAACTCCGTCTCAAAAAAAAAAAAAAAAAAAAAAAA